CGAATTATGTTTGTTTCATAATGCGATTAACTTTGTTTCATGTTGCCACATATTTTGTTTCATATTTTAACACGCTTCATAATAACTGTGCTTAAAAGTAGTTCTTTACCTATTGAAATTAAGTGTTGTGCATATTACTCTTAATTTCTGACAAACTTACGTTTACAAAAAGTTGCAGAGACTAATAGAATGGAATACTCTATCTTAGATTCTATACATTCACTTTTCCGGCATCTGAGACTGCTGTTTGCTAAAAATATATACTTAATGGTTGTATAGTGTAGTGGTTATCACTGTCGGTTTTGATCCGACCAACCCCGGTTCGAATCCGGGTACGACCTTTTTAATTTAAAGAGCAACAATATCACTTTCAACGACAAGTAAAAGTTTTGCTTTCATATTCTTATTCATCGCTAAGAAAAGTATAATTATTAAATACGACACAACAGATGACTTTGCTATATAAATACGGAATATTATTTCATTTAGGAATGAAAAATGTGTACTATATAGTTTTATGTAATCATTTAAATCAAAATTCGAAGAGTGGCACGACAAACTCAGTCGAAACTATTCACAATAAATTAAGCGTATCCATTATTAACATACCTAGTTTCAATAATAATAATTATTAATAGGGGTGTTGGTCTTCTTTTTTCATCAAATAGATAGAAATATATTATCTTCTGATTTTGATATATTAAAATCTCTCGTCAATATCTTTTTAATTAGAACAGGTTACCCTATATATAATTTTGAGTAGTCAATTGGATAGAATGTAATTGTGATCAAATAAATTACATTTCGATATGTTTATTAAGGTGGTATTGACGAAAATCTATGGCCAAAAGATATCACAAATGTTTACTCTATCAAAGTTTACTTTATATGTAGGTTACTAATTTATACTATAATATCAATAAAATAAAGTAAAACAGTATGGGAAGCTAATATGAAAGCCTCATAGTGACATTCCAACTTCTTCGTAGTTCAGAATATTGTGTCAAAGTATATAATAACCCAGATAGTCATCAGATATGTGTCAATCTTAATCCCGCCTTTAATTCCGCCCGGGTGAGAGTACCCCGAGAGAAAATTTCTTCAACTTCGGATCGAAAAGTACAAAACTCAGAAAATACCGTACAAAAACAGAAATATATAATACCGCTTCCATCTTAATTATAAAAGAAAATAACAGATCGAAGAATTGTATCTAGGAGTAACAAATTCAGTTACCTGAAGGGAAGAAACATGCCAAAATAGAAAAGGATTCGTGAATTGCGAACTTTCAGACGTCAATCATCCCCAGACATATACTCTTGGCAATCCGTGAGTGAATTTTGGGTTTCCTTGAATAAGACCGATTGAAATAAAAATGAGCCGGCAGGGGATATTGAGGTAGTTTGCTCTAGTTTTCTTTAAACAATGCAAAAAAATTGAAGATCAATTTCTATTTAATAAATCAGGACCACATTATGGATGAAATATTTTAATAACCAATTTATCTAAGGATGAAAGGTTACAAGTTGTCATATCTTCTGATATAAACAGCCAACATTTATTATAAAATTTTGTATATTACCTACTATCAATACTTCTATAATTACATCATCATACGATTGACCATTTAAGAAGGTGAACAGTGTTTTTTCTTTTCAGTCAAATCGAATCAATATGTCTAAAATAGACCTAGGTGCAGCCATCTACATTGCATTAAAACCAATCTTCAAGATTTACACAATTATATTTGTGGGATTCCTCATTGCCAAATATAATATTGTATCAATGGAAAATGCAAAAGGTATTTCCAATATGGTTGTTAATGCAATTTTGCCCTGTCTGACCTTCAATAAGATTGTTACAAATATTTCATGGCATGATATCAAGGAAGTCGGTGTCATTATCCTGTCTGCAATCATCTTGTTTTCATTTGGTGCTACAGGTGCTTTGATTACGAACTATACAACGCCTGTACCAAAGACCTTCTACTGGAGTTTTATCTTTGCTGGTCTTTTCCCGAATATTTCTGATCTTCCTATTGCTTATACACAAAGTATGGGTAATGGTGCAATTTTCACAGAAGCAGAATCGGAAAAAGGTGTCGCTTATTCATGTATCTTTTTATTTACACAAAGTTTTCTAATGATGAATTTTGGTATGTGGAGAATGGTTGGATTGGATTTTAGAGATTCTAAAAAGGATTCTGAAGACTTAGAAAGTCAAAATACTTCTGTAAATATATCTGATATTGACACTAATCAGGGAACATCAATGATTATGGACGAACCTAAGGATAACAATCTAGAAACAACTTCGCAAGTACCAAGAGTCAGTATTTCAAGTTCGGATGGATCGAATAGGGCTAGTGTTTTAAGTAGTTTAAGCAGTAACGTGGTTGATTATGAGAATGGTTATTTTACAGGGAATCGCAATTATATTCAACAATATGACAAAGATACGGCTAATCAAAAGAGTACAACCTCAGAAATTGAGAAGCCAAGTGAGGCACATCTAGTTGGTGGGTCCGATCAAATACGGCGAACTACTTCTTTCTATTCGAATAATATGGGACTAGATGATAGGAATGAAGATAACCTAGGTTATGATGAATATAGGAGCGCTGTAACAAGAAGAAGACCAAGGAGATCATCTATCCATGATGTTATATCATCATTCAGTGCTGTTAACCGTATAAAGACTGGTGAATTAGATCTTACGCGACCATTAAGTATGACCGAAGAAGTTGGACGTGAAAACACCACTATTGGCGCAATTGATAACAATACAGAAGAAACTGGTATAGTAGAAAATACTCTCAAGAGTAATGGTGATTTGCAATCTGTCTACTCCGAAAAGTCTACTAAATGGATTAGATTTAAAAAGAGAGTATCAGATTTTATTCATGAACATCATCTGGAATGGGTTGCATATTTTGCAATTAATTTCTGTAGACCAGCTTCCTTGGGTGCATTACTAGGTATTATATGTGCATTAGTTCCTTGGATTAAAGCATTATTTGTTCCAACGTATGTCCATGTTCATCAAGCTCCAGATGACCTACCGGTATTAAATTTTCTAATGGATTTTACAGCTTATATTGGTAATGCATGTATTCCATTAGGATTATTATTGTTGGGAGGTACATTAGCAAGACTAGAGGTTAATTCTATCCCTAAAGGTTTCGATAGATCTGTGGTACTAATGACAGTTTTCAGATTGATTATATCGCCTATCATCGGTGTCTTATGGGCTAACAAACTGTACGACATGAACTGGCTGGATTCGCGGATTGGGAAATTTGTCATGGTCCTTACATGGTCGATGCCTTGTTCTACATCTCAAGTTTATTTCACAGCCTTTTATACACCCGTTGTGGGATCTCACGTCCAAATGGATTGTTTATCGGTATTCTTTGTTGCACAATATGCGATCCTATTTATTACCTTATCAATTGTCGTGACATACACATTAAAGGTAGATCTTAATGTGTAATGACCTGACACCCACTCTTTGTATTGAGAAACGAAGCGTCCAACCTTTAGTTCATCTCCATATATATATATTTGTATACTATAAGATTTCAAACATTTATATTCGTAGAGAACGATTTTTAAACATGAAAAAAAAGAATCTCCGGAAGTTTCCGACCGACTTTCCCCGAACTCCGATGCTGCTATGACTAGAAAAGTTTGGCGTTTTAAAGGGGGGTGGGTATACTCCGTTGTCAGAGGCTAAAAGCAGCATATCTTTAAGGACTTCAGTGATAATAAAAGGGAGTTCTTTGAGCCACGAATCCGTTACCATATAAGTATTTGATCATGTTAAAATCGATTGAGTTATTAAAAAACTTGAGCCATTTTAAGTATCATAGACAGTTTGATTTAAAGTCTGTTTGGCCATCAGATCGTCGATCTGCTGTTTTAGTGTTATTGTTCATTGGTTCCAGAGGTGAATTGCGTGTTCTATTGACGAAACGATCAAGAAGTTTAAGGAATTTTTCAGGACATGTTTCATTCCCAGGCGGTAAAGCCGACAATGACGACGAAACATTTGAAGAAGTTGCTAGACGTGAAGCTGAAGAAGAAATAGGATTACCAAGAGATCCTTTAGTCCTATCTGAAAAATTTCAAATGGCCATTGAGAATATATCCCTGGATTTCCCATGTTACATCTCACGGACATTACTTAGCGTAAAACCATTAATCTGTTTCTTGCATAATCATGTTGGAGAAACAGCGTCCGATTCTATATATGAGAGTCCTCTTGATATATCTAAATTTTTTGGGAAGTTAAATCCCGGTGAAACTTCCTCAATATTTTCAATACCATTAAATGATCTAATCGCTGATACATTTCAGAAGGCTCTACAGTATATCCCTGAATATATTAATCATAAGGAATTCGTAGGGGATTGGGGTGGTATTGAATGGGACATCAGGCATCTTTATTATCCAGTAAATAATCAAAATGAAGCCATTTGGTTGAATGAAGTAGAGAGTCTCAGTTCAGATGAAGAATACCCAGATATGGGTAAAGTAAGAGATGTTTGGGGTCTTACAGCTAAGATACTTACAGATATATCTAAAGTAGCTAATGGATTAAATGTGGTATCTCCACCAAATAAAAGTGGTCAATTACATTTCAATCATGAAAAATTGATACATGCATTATCTTATTATGGGAAACAATTAGAACCTACAGGTAGATCTGACTGGGAAAAACAGTTAATAAGTAATAACAATAATATCAAATACGGAGATAAGATCCCTGCATTCTACATGGATTATTTGAAACATTCTGGTAAGTTCTAACTCATTCATAAATGCAAACTTACTTTACTAAAATAATTACAAGTATGTATATATACATATATACATGCAACATATTTAGCATTCATAAACAAAGCCATAAGCATATCTAATATGTCTTTTTTTAATCAAGATTCGGGACGGTTCGTTATCTGCTTTGATAAAGAACAGATCTCGACCGATATTACTTGCTTCCGGTATCCAACACACAAGCAAGTTCAGCATATGTACAATACCACAGTTGATTATCATAGACCACAAGTTTATCATGTGCTATTAGTAGCAACTCTCTCCCTCTTCCCTTCTCTGTCTGCTACTTTCGCTGCTCCTTGGAACAATGCGTACTCCCAATTACTCATAAATGCACCAAATGGAACAAAGACGCATTGAGTGACAGCTGGTAATTTTTCTTTGCAAAGGAAAAAAGGGAAAGGAAACTAAATATATAATGCAGACAATTAGAAGTGAATTTCAAGTATAAGAAATAGTTCGTTAGTTTCAAGTGGATACACATTGCACATTTTTGAACTATTGAGTAGAACATATATTCTCGATATATATTCTAACAAAAACAATAAGGATAAATCATAACAACCACAACCACAAAAAAAGTGCAATAATAAGTGTCGTGAAATTTTTTTTTATCAAGGAACATAAAGAGAAGTAAAGACTGAAATAATGGTAACAGAGCAAATCAGAATTACGAAACGTGTAGGTAGTAACCCTGAATATACTGACAATGGTAATAAGCCACTGCCGATAACATCTGTTGAAGCTCAGAATGCAGTACACATGGTGACACCAGAACGTATCTCCAAAATGTTGGAGACTAGAGGCCCTCTAGCAATAAGATTTATCACGCAAAGTTTATCGGAAGAGATCCCATATTTTAAGAACTTGAGTACTTCTAAACAAAGACGTTTGATTATGAATGTAATGGAGACGGGTTATGAAGAACAATCTTTAATATTCGAAAAAATTGGATGGGGGCTGTGGACAGTAAGAAAAGTTTCTCCTGAGACATTCAAACAAGAACGTGATGTGACCAATAAATTGAATGCAAAAGTTAGAGATAATAGTAATAACCCTAATGCGCCAGAGATTAAGAGAAGATTAAGTAGCAATACTAATACAAGAAAGAAATCTTTAGTGGAAAGTATGAGTGCGCCATTGTCTCCAAGATTGAGAGCTCAAGGCGAATTACCAAATGGAGCAAGATCTGTGGTGTATATAGATGAAAATGTTTTACAAACAGACGAAGAAGATAATGATGTCTTTAGTGAGGAAGATGATGAAGGACATGGAACGCATAACCATAATAATAATGGTAATAATAGCAATGGTAATAAAATTAAAAATGAACACGAAGATTTTGTGCGTGAAATGATCAAACCTAATGGTGCATTCAATTTTAGTAGACGTAAATCTAGTGTAGTATATGATGATACTATGCCTGAAGCATTAGAACAAGAAATGTTAGCACAAAAGATTAGACCACTATTAAAGAATAAAAGTCGTAGATCTAGTTCAAAGGGTCGCCCTGTACATATCTTTAACATGGGTAATAATAGCAACAACAACAACAACAACAATAACAACAACAGCAATAATAATAATAATAATAGTAATAATAATAGTGTCATTGGTTCACCATTAAGTGGGAAACATATATTAGATAATGAGAATATCCCACCTTTACCAAGGATCTTATATACAGGCGAAGATTCTAACGTAAGTCCAAATAATAATTTCCCATTACGTAAGGGTTCAATCTCAGGATTAGGTAATGACTTGAAACCAGGTCGTAACTCCTTTAGTGAAGATGTATCACGTAGATCATCTTCCCGACTCTCTGTCTCTAAGGAATCTGGTATCAGATCTACATTATTCCATACAGTTAATGATATTTCAGCACAAGGTTCTAACAATTCTGCTACATCATTAGGGACCCGCTCTCAAATGGGAGCATTCCAATCCCCTGGTCTTCCAATCATCGAACAAAGAGACCAAATCATTGCTATAGCTAATAATAATAATATTAATAATAATAATAACAACAAGAAAAATATCAGTGATACCAATATACCATTGACAAACAATAATATTGTCGAGTCCCCCCATTCAGAGACAGATGAAGAGGACTGGGCAAACATCGGTGCCGAGTCCCTAAGGACAATGAGCAACGATATCAGTCCCATCAGTACAAACAAACAGGTAACTCATACGAACCATACAGGCGATGCGGATGATGCCGCTAGAGTCTTGCTCAGTCTCAAGTAAATAGCACAAATAGCACAAATAGCACAAATATCTAGAACCTATCTATTTGTTGTATGTAAGTAAACTAACGATATATTTTCACGTGACTGCAAATAGTTCTCCAATCCTGCAACATCTCTCAGAAACACCCGCACTGAGTCTGCTATCAAGGGGGTGGGTAAGATGAAAAGACCCGCAAAAATTCGCAGCTCGTCGGTCGTTTCTTCGGCTGTGGCGGTGAGGAAAGAATGGCAAAAATTCGTTAAGGGATGAGATCGTTAATAATACCAGACTTAATGGTAATGGAAGTATCGCTTGTAAATGTTGGTGGCTGTTGCTGTTTGAAGGCAAGATTTACAACAAGTTTTAGTATTCTGGTCAACTAACAGTTTTACAGGTAATCGACGAAACCTAGAGAGGTATGCTTGTATTGTCACAATAAGAACCTTCTTGCCAGTTTTATGGATTCTTCCGAAAGGTCTATTGTTTGGCAAAAAGTATTCCTCTCTTAACTTATTTTTTTTGTCTTTTAGATTGCCTATTTCAAATAAGAGAATTCCAATCAAAGAGGAATGATAACAACTACATAATAATATAAATACCATAGAAGAAGAAATTTTACTCATCACAGAACAGAATATAGGTAAACGCATTTTCCTCTCCAACAGCACATTTATAATTCTACATTACCTTAATACTAGAAACAAATTATTAGAAATGACTATTGTAGGAACTCCGAGTGGGTTCAATGAATGGGATGGAGATTCATTAGGTTCCATTTCTGATAAAATATACCAAAACTATTTGGCACCGAATTTAGAACTGTTTGATGCAAAAGTGACTATCAATCATTGGCAGCTTAGAGATTGTATCAAACCTTATTCAGGTAGTTCGAATGGTGAACTGTATTATATATATGATCATTCTATTAGATCGTTAAACACTGATTCCAGATGTTTATCTTCGGAACAACAATATTATGATGATGATAATGATGATGCTATTGATGTTGATGTTGATGATGTTGATAATGACGATGGATCAAATCAAAAGACAAAGAATAAAAGACAAAGAATATCGAAATATACATTGGCAGATTCAAATATCAATAAGAATAACAATTCAAATCTATACGGATCACCTACTCAAACAGTTGTGGATTTTAATTTTAAACCAAGATGTTTCACTGAACAAAATGGATTAATTGCATGTGGTGGATTAGTAGGATCAGATGATAAAGGGTTCCCAACCAATTGGAATCGGGTAGATCATGATGATTCCCAGGCTACTTCCTCAGGATCATCCTTATCAACTTCTTTACAATCACCTGCACTACCAATATCGATGTCATCAAGGAATATACTTTCAGATGGCTCTAATTATGGGAACCCAAATATATGGAAAGGTATACTTTCAATATATAATCACGAATCAAAATTTAAAACGTCTGTGATACTAGGCCAATTTATTAATAATTGCGTTACTGTACATGGTAGATCTACACAAAGTTATAACCTTTACACTTGCAATAATGATGGTCACATTTATCAATGTGATATAAGTAATAGATCTGTGGAATTAGTAAGGCGGTATTCAGACTTGTCATTCCCATTAAATAATGCATCGTTGTCTCATGATGGTAAAACAATGATAGTATCTGGTGATTCTAATAAGTTTGCCATTTATAAACAAAATGAAGTCATTAATCAGTTTACTCTTAAGTATGACAATCAACCTGAATGGGGGAGTTCAAAACCCAGTCGAGTTGGAATTACTCCAAGATTCGATACGAACGATATAACTGCAACCATTGATAATAATGTATTTGAAACTACAAACGGTGACCACGGGTTTTATAATTGCTTTTCAGAGAATGATTTACAGTTTGCAACGTTGTTTCAAAATGGTATTTGTTTAATGTATGATATTAGAAATACATCGAATCCATTGGCCGAGATAATTTCCACCAGACCACAATCCCACAATGGTGCATTCAGAGTCTGTAGATTCAGTTATGGTTTAGATGATTTGTTGTTCATCTCCGAACATCAAGGGAGAGTTCACGTTGTGGATACAAGAAATTTTACAAATCATCAAGTTATTTTTTTACCGAATAAGATTAATGTTGAGTCAGATGATGTCAACTCAGCAAGAAGTAGCAGTCACTCATTGAATACACTTGCTAATGGGATGCGCTCATACTACCCAGGATCTAGGGGTGCAAGAACTAGAATACTGACGTCAGGTCTAACTGATAACCTAAGCGGTAAGTTTGGGGAACCTTGGACTACATCTGCTTGTAAACTTCCTTCCAAATATTTAGAACCATACATTTTACCTTTCCCTAAGGCCGTCAATAAGCATTCTAATCATTTTTTTAATCATGGTCAACATTATAATAGACAGACAGGTTCTGTTTCATCAATAGATTTGATATCGGGGGATTCTGACAGTAATAATGAAAACAATGAATTGCAGCAATATTCAAGGGAAGCAGATTACGACATGAAGGAAACATTTAAAGTTAGAAGAATCTCAACAGCATCAGGTCAATGCGGAAACAAATTTATACAGGATGCAAATAATGATTCAGATATCAAGATAGATTCTTCGAACCTAAGTAGGGGTTCTGGTCATCATTCAAATATGTTGAGGTTGAATGTTGATGATACTCTCTTCGACAATGAAGGCGGCAGGAACGCATTCTATTTAAACCCAGACAACAGCTCTGATGATTCGTCTGCCTTAGAAACATACCATAGTTCGTTAAATAGGAGTCTAATCGATCCTATAATTGAAAGAACAGGTGATAGTTGTTTATCAGAAGAAAATAATATATCTGGTATAACTTGGTTAAACGACAGGGATGGGAATTCTTTGATAATAGGTACCGATTACGGTATCGTTAAATGGAATATAAATTCATCGGCTAGAAGAAGTTTTGCTAGCTACGATTTTTGTTAATAAGCCCTTTAAAAAAAGAAAAAAAAAAGTTGCTATTATTTATATATATATGCTTACATATTTATACCAGTTGATGTAGTTATTAGTATAATTATATATTCCACATATTCATCTCAGTCTCGTCCACCGTAAAGGCTTCATCAATATTATTGATATTCATGTCACTACATAGATAGCATTTAGTAGTTAATAACCTTTCAAGTTTTTCTTCAGTCTCTTGGTCAGGATGTCCATCTTTAACTGTTCGAGTGAGTTTCTGGATCTCGTTTATCAAATTATAGTCCGTAGAATTTAAGATTAATTTCATGATGCAATCCTTATGGTAACAATGGTTACATGGGAAAATGATGAACTTCCGACTTTGAAGAAATTTATCACAGTAATTACAAGATTCGCCTGGTTCGATTAAGTTATATTTCTTGTCAAAATTTTGTATGTCATCTTTTATTCTTTCCTTTAAAAGAATAGACCTTTTGATATCTTTAGAAATTACATTCATTTTCTCATTATGATTTTCCAAGCTCTTAATCAATTCGTCTTTTAGATTTGCAATAGTTGTAGTCTTTTTACACAGCATTAATAGATCCTTTATTTCTAAGATGTTGTTAGATTCTACCAAAAGAGAATTAATGGTTTGCTTAACATCTAATGAGTCTGAAGAAGCGTTAGATAATGCGTGAGTTGCAATTTTCAGCCATAACCTCTTCTTTAATTTCTCTTGATCCAATTCTGCATCTTCAGTTAGATCGATCTTATTGATAATTGTCTTTGCTTCTTCAATTATATCATATTTTATACCAATAGATATAGCTTCTTCATACAGCTTTAATTCTGATAATAGATACATTGCAACCTCATGACACTTGAATTTCATACTTATTTGCAATATAAAATTTATATCATAATTCCCTTCATAGATTTTCAAAAAGTTAATTATTTTCTGATCATCTTTGGTAACTGTATTTTTGGTGGCTATCATAATATACAGTGCCGTATTGTATAAAATGGACGGTATATTTGAACTTGTTGACGTTTTATCGTTAATATAATTTAAAAGGTAAGTCAGTCCATAATTTGTTTTAGGTGATTTTTCATTGCCAGCAATTATCAAATTTTTTTGAAAATTAGTAAAGAATGTTAGAATTGCAGGTAATAAATTGACAGGATTTAGTTGTTTTATTTTCATCCATGCATTTATCGTCGCATCTGGAGAGCTTACTAATAAAATAGTAGAGTACTTATAAACTGTAGATGGGTTTGGGTATTTAAGTAGGATCTTTAAGGATTCATACCAATTTCCATGCTTAATCCAATAAGAGATCATATATTCATAATCATCAATTAGATTTGCAAAGAATAGTAGATCATGTGTACGATTTTGGTTTGTAATAATTTGATAAACAGTTGGAATATCTAATGAAGGTATGTTACTTTTTAAAAAATTATTGAAGGAATCCTGTAAAACATTTCTTCTTGCTATTAACGTTTTTTCATCATTCTGATCCTCGAGACTAATTTTTTCATCTATATCGTTTAATTGTTTCATGAAGTTCCAAATAATCCAACTTGACAGTAGCATTTTTGGAACTTTGTTGATATCTTCATTATTTGGTTTGTTTAGTCGATTCATTTTCATTATTAAGTATTCTTGTAATGCGCTTGTGGTTGTACCTTTGTTTTCATTTTTTTCATCATCCATGTATTTCAATGCAATTTCACTAATCGTGGCTGTATCTGATTGCCCAAAATATTTAGCTGCACCGAGTATATCTTTCTCATCTTCAAATAAAAACGTTCCTTTACGAAGATTTACTAGACTTCTAATTGAATGATTTAATCCTGGTAAAGATAGTACCTCGTCGAATGATTTTTGTTTACAAAGTAAATCCCATACAGCCAGTGGCTCGTTATTCACAATGATTTCATAAATATTAGAATTAGAGTAGCACCAAAATGTATGACCCTCAGTTTCATTATAATTATCTACGGTTATCCCTATAAATTGCTCACTCGAAGGACCTTGAATATCGACTGGCGACTGCATTGACTCCTGATACGCGATTTTGTTGTTTAACTGGTTTACCATTGTTAAAGTAGAATCTTTCAAAATTATGATATGGTAGTTCGTTAAAATAACATCTTTTACAGGGGTGTCATCTCTAGTGACACTTTCATTGTTGTTTTTAAATAATTCATTGTTAAATATGATTTTCGCTTTATTCAAAACGCTCTCCTTAGATGTCGTGATCATTGATATATCACCATATACAATTGCAGAAGATGTTGTCCATGCAAATATACTGTTATTTAAGGAAGAAAACCGCGTTCTGGTTTCACTTTGTGTCTGTCTCATTTGTTGATTCAAGTATTTAAAATTCTCATTCTCTTTAGGTTTAGTTTTTAATAATTCTATAGGAGACTTTCGATTATTATCTTCAGGTTTCCAAAGTAATAGTCGATTTTTAAGAGCAACTAGAAGATTCCCTGACTTAAGGCAATATAGTAAGCCATGTATTGGTTTGTTTTTATCTGATGTCCAACAATGAATTATGGTAGGGTTCTTCATACCATCAGTGAAATCGATGCTTATTATCTTCCCACTTGCGGTGCCACATAGAAGTTTGTTGGAACCTAACCATTGAACATATAGTATATCATATTCTCTCTTTGCTAACTTCTTGATAACATATATACATTTTTGTTTATTGTCAGTGTTCACGAGCAGTTCTTTAAGGTCTATCATGTAGTACATAGCAAAATTGGTTTTGATTAATACTTTTGTACCATCTGTATTTAACCATGATGTTATCAACTCTTCATTATTACCTTGATTGTTTTCTATAAGTGGGATTTTAATACTGTTGATTGTAGAAGGTTTATCTAGATCGATATAATGAATATTCCCATCCTTTAAAGCAAAAACAAATGAGTTCGAATCAACTTGTAAAGAACAAATATTCTTGTTTATTCCCTTGATAGATTCCAATTGTACATGTTCGATGTGTACATCCATAGCAGATATTGTCAATCTCGTTACTTGAGTGTACTGTTTAGATAGTTTCTTTCTGTTTATATAAAGGGGGACTTCATCTTAGTCTTCTTGATAGTAATTTTTTTAAGGCCTAATTCTTGTTTTTTCAGTCGGTTACGAATTTTTTTTTTCCATCAAGTTTTAGTTGTAACAATATTTAAAACTGATGGACTAAAAAGTCAACCAATTCGAAAGAGAAGCAGATTCAGGAAGGTTGCAACGACATCGTGAAACGGTATTGATAAAAATTAATATATTAGTGTTTGCAAAAATGAGTAATATACCTGTAAAATTATTGAATGAAGCTCAGGGACATGTTGTCTCTTTAGAATTGAGTTCTGGAGAAACGTATAGAGGTAAATTGGTAGAGAGTGAAGACAATATGAACATACGAATGAAGGACGTTACAATAACAGGTAGAGATCAAGGTGAAGTATCGAGAATGGATGAAGTATATGTTAGAGGTTCTCAAATCAGGTTTTTCGTGCTCCCAGAAATGTTGAAAAATGCACCTCTCTTTAAGAATAATACCAGGCAATCTAAACCCGTACCACCTATTAGAGGTCCTAGGAAAGCAGTCGGTAGAGGATAGTATCATAAGCTGTGGCAGTCATGACGGTTAGTATTAGGGAAATGACACATTATACACCAATATCGTGTATATGTGTAGTATATAAAAGATAAATAAAAAAAGCATTGGAATATACATATTAAATTAAATGTTACAAAATTACATTCAGTTCATTATTAAAAACTTATTTTATATTAAGTTCTTTCATTGAGAATGGTAGATGTGTTGGGGACGCTAATATTCGCGATACTGGTATCGCATATATCACAAAATTCATTAATATCTGTCCTTAGATCTCTGTTAATATCAGTGAATTGGGTGAACAAAGATGTAATATCCTTCTGTAGCCGTTGTGTCTCACTTAAAAGTAAATCTAACTCATTGCTATTGTCTTGTCCCTTTTGACCGTCTGAACTATTCATCCCTGCTGTTGCTGGAAGCCAGTTCGTGTCATTGTCACCTCTGCCATTGAAAGAAGACATTATCGCATACACATATGTCCTTTACCTCTCCCATGTAGATCATCACTCTATTGTAATCACTCTTGTAACTTAGACCTCCCACAAACCCCTACTATTGTGATTTTCATATCTATTTATTGGAAGAATCAGCACCAAAAGATGTTCGAGAAATGAGGAAAATTCGACATTTTTCTAAAAACTGAAAAATTTCGCAAAATGTGAAAATTCAAAGAGAAAAATTTCGATGAGCTTCTGGTTTCTCAACTGGGACGGTTTAATCAAGGTCAAGGGGGTACTGAGATGAGCTGGCTATTGGGTTCAGACCTGATGATTAAAAGCACACTAACGTGTAGCTTGTGAACAGTTCAGTAATTTATATTGATACCATTGTTGTAAAGATAAGGGATAATCGCTTGGCATTAGAACATTTCGAAAGATGACAGAATTTACCCATAAAAGTATAGTGGACGGTTGGTTTCGTGAGGCTAATGAGAGCAGTTTCCCCGGCCAAGCATTTACTTTAAAAGTTGAAAAGATTTTATATCATGCTCACAGTGAATTTCAGGACATTCTAGTTTTCAAAAGTACTACTTATGGTAATGTTCTAGTTCTTGATGGGATAATTCAATGTACCGAACGTGATGAATTTGCATACCAAGAGATGATTACACATATTCCATTATATTTGCATAAGAACCCTAAGAGAATTTTGGTTATTGGGGGAGGAGATGGTGGTGTTGTTCGTGAATTACTAAAGCATGAATGTCTTACCCATATCACTCAAGTAGAAATCGATGAGACAGTGATTAAATTAGCTCGAAAATATTTCCCCGGTATGTCACATGGATTGGATAACCCTAGGGTACAAATAAAATTATGTGATGGGTTTGAATATTTGAAAGGTCTTGCCAATACATCAGCTGAGGATAAATATGATGTCATAATTACAGATAGTTCTGATCCAGAGGGCCCTGCAGAAGCTTTTTTTAAAGATACATATTTCAAACTATTGAAAAATGCGTTAAAAGATAACGATAGTCTAATTATCACTCAAACATCTGAAAACATTTGGTTAAATATTGATTATTTGCAAGACTTGTTGAAAGCTGCAAAATCTGTCTTCCCAAATACTAAATATTGTTATACAATGGTCCCAACATACACATCAGGGCAACTCGGTCTAATGGTATGTTCCCCAGATGAAACATTGGAACTAACCTCACCAGTTAGAATTCCTACTGAAGTTGAACAAGATAATTTGAAATATTACAACGCCGAAATACATAAAGCATCATTTGTACTACCGAATTGGTCAAATAAATTGCTAAATAATTCACATTGAATAATAATAAATTTCAAATTCCTTTTATTGTCACCTCTTTACATATATAATTATAAACAAATCTTAGGGTATCCTACACCTTTTAACCAATGGTATACTTGTGTCTATGTCTTTCGATTATTTACTTATCTATCCAAATATGCTGTCAATGGCAGATTTATGCTTTTTGGACTTAATTGTTTTCTTTTTCTTTTTCTTCTTTTCCTCCTTAGTATTACAATTCTTAATAGTTTCCTCCTTATCACCAGTAGTTGGAATAGTTTTGGACTCTATAATGTCATCCTCCATAATCATCTCCCCTACTTCCTCATTTAATATTGTAATATCATTCAAAATTCCTATATTTTGGATTTTATAATCCTGCTTCTCGATATTGGTCGTTCGTTCAAATTTACGAAACTCTTCACTATGTAATTCGATAAGTTTTGTAACTTGATGATATATTCGACCTAATAACCCTATGAGTACCACTCCAAGAGTTGGAAACTGGCCTAATGTAATTACACCATTGAATTCATAATACATCTTCTTAACGTGTGTTCTAATAAATTTGTGAGTGATGTGATATAATGCATTTATTTCTAATCTGTTCCAGTGTTGGAGAAGAACAACTATCTGAGTAACTACTCTCTTTAATGTGCAAAATTGCTTCCACCAAATAGCTACACGATGTTGATTTTTATTCCTGTGGTGAATTAGCCGTATAAGTCTTTCTTCTTGTTGGAACGACGTCATAAGTTCTCTAGGAACGTTTGATGCAGACCTATCCTTTCTTGATCTACTCATCTAAATTTTCGTTTCTGGTCAAATGCTTCCTCTTTAGACTAGAAGTGATTATGACTGCCCAATAGAATAACTGGAACCTATGTTGCGCTGTTTGTGGCTTCATTTAATCGTCTCTAATTGTTCTATTCAACATTTGATGGCTCATCGCAGAATTTTTGTTTTCGCAATAAAATAATTTTCAAATAACGCAACGAGCTTCTTAATGGTAGCTCAATTCCCCTATTGTAAGTTAAGAGGTCAGTTCTCCAATAATGTCTGTTTATCACAGGGAGTGTTTCAATTCTCCCTGGGATTCAATTTACCAAATTTGAACGTCTTTCTTTGAGGGGTTCAAAGATATATATATATATACATCATATATGGAGCAAGAATGAGTTACAATAGACCGCCTATGCCATCACATTGTCCCAGAACCAACAATGATAACCAGGTTGGTTACAATACAACCATGGATGACATGCCTCCACCATATAGTGAGCATGATACATTAAGTGTACCTCCACCTTTACCTTCTAGACCATTAACTCCTATTCACACTGGAAATGAAAATACACCGCCTTTACCCTCGAGGCCAGGCAGCTCTACATCGAATGCAGATTTTGGTCCACCCTTACCTACGCGACCTACCAGTAACAATAGTACCCAGTCAATGGATAGTTATTCTTCTAGCAATAGACGTCGACAGATACCACCACCTATTCCTACTAGGTCTACGAATACTTCTAATTACTCACTTAAATATAATGAATCATCATCTGCAGAGAGAGCTCAACCTTCTATTCCATCAAGAAACTATGAAAGTAGCAGCCCTTCTGAATTAAGTGGTCACAGAAGAAGTATTTCCCCCGATACTCAAGATAATACAATTACTACACCTATTAATAAGCAGATGGAAAAAATGACCTTAAACGACAACAATCCTGTAAAGCAAATGATAGATTTTCATACTCCAATCAGTATGACGGCCCCACCTTCAGAAATATTTAATACTAGGGAGCATACAATACCATTACCAACAAACTATTGTAAGACTTCTGAAATTCCAACGGTTGAGACAAATAAATTCTACGGGAATATGTTCCTGGGTCAGCAAAGATGTCCTATCTGGACGCATCCTTATTCACTATGGTTGACTAAAGAATCGCCATTCATCGGGATCGCAACAACACATATCCGTGAAGAGCAACGTGTTTTTGATGATAAAAATGATCCACCCCAGTTCTTCTTTTCTCCAACCAACATCAAGGCATTTGTCTTCAGCTCATTAGAGTTTTCTAATGCTACTACTGATGCAGTCTCGTTAAATTTTACTGATGTGAAGCATATGTCTGTCCAGCTTCAGTTGAAACTAAATGACTCTCAATTTGTTTGGTTTCCCATTGTTCAGGGTATGGGTTTCGTGACTGCTATTTATTACAATCTTACTCCATCCTTGCAAAGTGCTATTGGATACAAGTCCCTCAATATAATATGGTGTAACAATCAAATTACTAAATACCACATAAAATTGGAGAATGATATTGTCTGGACATTATATGTAACTTCTCAAGAACCGATAACGTTATCTTTGGTAGAAGGACACAGAATTTCGGCGGATAGAACAGTCAATGGTTGTATATTTCAATTAGTTGCCGACACAAACGATAGTATAGATCAGGCAGCAAACTGTTTCCAAATCGATGCTGAACTAAAGGCATCTATTTTAGATAATGATCCAGCCAAGGCTCGATACAGTTTCAATTATGTAACAAATGGTATTTCTTCTTCGGGAAAGCCACTCTTGTACGCTTTACCCCATCATATAGATTACATGACATCACAAACCTTGAGCACTGAGATTGATTCTCAGTTGGCATCCACCGTTTATGGGAGAATGTCCGGATTTATTACAAATAAAATAGAAATGGAAATTGCGGTTCCAAATGAAGTACAATTTGAACCATTTTCCACAATTCCGAATCGAAATAAAAAATATAGCAATGAAGTACTGAATACTATGAGGAATGCGGCAATTGAAGAAACTCAGGGTGATGTAATAAATGAATCGAACCTAGATTCAATGTATTTTTCAGGAAAGATACTTGCAAAATTTGCGTGGATCCTATATTGCTGTCATTTCATCCTAAATGATGAAGCTTTAGTCTCACATTTGTTGAATAAATTGAAAGGTGCCTTACAGCGTTTTATTGATAATCAGCAAATATTACCATTGGTTTATGATACAACCTGGGGTGGTGTAATATCATCTGGGAATGAATCACAGGATTTTGGGAATCCATACTATAACGATCATCATTTTCATTACAGTTATCATGTGATTGCAGCTGCAATTGTGGCCAAAATAGATAAGGAAGTGTCGGGAAATAGTGTTTGGTTGGACACAAACAAAGAATGGGTCGAACTCTTAATAAGAGATTATGCAAATCCATCTCCAAATGATCCTTATTTCCCTGTGTTTAGGTCGTTTGATTGGTATAATGGTCATTCCTGGGCAAAAGGATTATTCGAGAGCGGTGATGGGAAGGACGAAGAGTCAAGTTCAGAAGATGTAAATGCTTCTTATGCGCTCAAATTATGGGGTCTTACAACAGCGAACCAAAATTTAGTTAACATTGCTGATCTACAATTGGGTATATTGAAAACGTCCTTAAATAAGTACTTCTTGTACCAAGATAATAATACAGTTGAACCTGCGAGATTTATTCGTAATAAAGTAAGTGGGATCTTATTCGAAAATAAGATAGATCACACTACATATTTTGGCAATAAGATGGAATACATTCAAATGATCCACAGTATACCTATCATTCCGCCATCTTCATTCATTAAGTCTCCGATATTCGTTAGAGAAGAATGGGAACAAATTCTGAGAGATATTGTGGAGAGTGTAAACGACGGATGGAAAGGGATTATTATGCTGAATGTTGCATTATTTGATCCGAATTTATCTTATAGATTTTTTTCTGATCCAAATTTTAATAAAGGATTTTTGGATAACGGTCAAAGTTTAACCTGGTCATTGGCATTCAGCGGAGCTTATATATAATGTGTGCTGGTTATTTCATTAAAGGGTGTATTAAAATACTGATATTGTATGTATATTAAGAAAATATATAGATTATTCATATAGACCATACTTTTTTGCAAGTTCATTCATCCTCTTTAAGGCTTTTGGTAAGCGCTCGTTTTCATTATCAATTGTATGTGAATAAAAGTCACTATCATCATCTTCTTGGCGAAGTCTATCTATGGCATCTGAATTATTGATAATATTGTCTTCATCATCTGATAGTCCATTTCTTGATGAAGCAGGAGGTGATGACATTGGTAGGTGATCTGGCGACGGTACAAGATCCATATCATATTCCTCCTCCCGTTTAAAATTACCTACTCGGTTACTGTCATGTATATTCCCTAAAAGTGATTGAATTGTCATGGTACTGCTTTTAATACAGTTTAGTACATTATCTTGTTGTTTAGTAATATTCAAAACATTTGTGTTTTTTTGTGTGATAGAAGATTCTTTTCTCCTCTTGGTCTCCTTCCTCATATCATTATCTGTTTTTCTTTTCTTTACCCTTATTTTAGGAGGTTGCGTTGATGAAACAGTTGTAATATTTGTATTGACATCTAAATCGACTGTTTGCGGATTCATTGTTGATGAATTTTTCAATGTAATTTGATGCTGGTTATTATTTATTGAGTTAATGACCATCTTTGTTTGATGTTTGATGGACTTTTCCGCACCATTATTTTGTTGTCGTATATCATTATGTCTAACAAGAGTAGTACTTTTCAAATTATTTATTGTCGTCGCATTTGATTCCCTGCTTTCCGTTGTTGACATGGCAGTACCTTCGACATTCTTTATGCTTTCATTTGGAGCTTTTGCTTTAATTTTGGTTGTATTTTTAGGTATAGTTAGGCTTTCTGTGTTCATAGTAGTATTTAATAATGTTGTTTCGGTCCCAGTCTCTACTAGGGCGGTATTTTCTGTAGGTACTCTTGTTGAGCTATATTCCATATTGGATTCAGTAACCTCTTTGGTCATCTGCAACACATTTTCAGTAGGTTTAATCTCAAGCTGAGAATTAGTAGTTGGGGATATGCATCCTGTAGGTACGCTTATTTGGGATAAATCAGCACTTTTTGCAGCATGTTTAATACTAAATTCACCATCTGAAATTTTGGTTCCTTGGTTATCCTTATTGTTGGAGTATTCGTCTCTTGGTGGTAATATCACTTTTTGAATAGTAATTTCTGTGGGTTCATTGGTCGTGTGAGGTATCTCCCCTAGTTGACTTTCATTCTCAGTGTTACTTAAATTTAAATTCTCTTCAGATGATTTAGGAATGGGATTAGTCTTTACCTCATTATTCTGTTCTTCAGATGTAGAATTCGTTATATTTTTTATAGATATTCTATTGTCTCCTATTACGTTTGTTTTAAAGTTATCATATGGACTATTTACTTGGCTTTGTACATTTGGCAAACCAGCTTTGTTTGTTTGAGATTTGGGTCGATCTTCACCGGTGCTTTTTAAATTCTCAGTAGTGATAATAATAGTATTTTTTCTTCCATTCTCAGTAGAATTTTCGTTACTCTGAGTATAAGGTAATGCTACGTCTGAATTTTGAGGTACTGGTACATCTTTTGAAACAAGGAAAACAGATTGGGTATCTGCCTTTATACTTGTGTTATTATTTGATATCTTGGTCATATTTTTCGGTCGTGTATTTTGAATGGAGGTTATACTTAATTCTAGTTCACTCGACTGGTTAGGTTTCGGCATCATTTTGATAGTTGATTCATTCTGTTCTTCTCCAGCAATTGTTGAACGATTTGTTGTATTTTCCTTCGTAACAGGTTTATTTAAGGGATTCGGTGCACTGATATCCGAATCATCTTCTATCTCAGATTTCTGGCCTATTGATAAATTGATTTTCGCTTCTATATGTTTCGATGGATGTATTGGTGGAAGTCCTCTCGAGATAGTCATTTCACTTCTCATAATACTTGCATCTATAGGCTCGGTATTTTGAAGCGGATGATCAAGTTTGTTGTTTATAGTATCAACTGCTTCAGATATAAGATGTGTTTTTTTTAACTCTTGTTTGAGAGTTTTAGAATGGGAGATAAGTAATTTTTGGGCATCCTCAGCCCTCAGTCTCCCTAAATAGATATCATTAATAAATTTAGATGTTACAATTTCATGATTTTTATAAAGTGGTGGTTCCTTAAAGGCACTTCCAACACCATGAACATTATAAAGTTTATTAAAAAAGTAAGCCATATCGCCATACTCTCCAATTGTTCCATTCAGTATATTCATTGGGACGTTATGGTATAGATAGTCCTTTACATTGTAATTTGTTATAAGCCCAGCTTTACTGTCTGTTCTCAGCTGTTTTTCTATATTAATACGTTCCTCTAAATTATGATTGTCAATCAACTGTCTGTCTGTTGCATTTGCAGCATTGATGACTTTATGCATCTCCCGCTGTATATCTGGTCTGTTTGGAGAATTCTCTGACATTTTCAGGTTTTTGTAAATGGTTGGTAAAGGTTCGAGGCCTATATTTTATTTAATATATGGGTCAATAATCTCAGGAAAATTTATCGAACTTAATGTAACGTTTAAAATTGATATATTGTTTGAGCCTATTGAACTTCTTTATAAGGATTGCGACGTTCTTATTGTTTCTAGTTTACATCTTCGACTTTTAATTTTTAAATTAAATTTTTAAATTCCTTCCTACGGTTTCTGCAAAGCCGCACTAAACAATTCAAACTGTAAGGTTGTCAGCCTTTGATGAGACTGTTTTCACTACTAATACATATATATATTAAGATGCAAACATATAGAAATCTATACACACTGGTGTCACCCGTTAACGAATATTTGTAGATATATGTAAACCAAATTGATGAGCTACACCGAAGCAATCAAAAACCTGGTCAACAGGACATACGGTAATTTTTGATGAGCAGTCGCTAGAATGGAGGTTCTTGAAGTTTTTACAAGCGTCTGGGTTAAAATACAAGGTTACATGGGCACGATCTCTCTTATTTTTCAAAAATATGATCAATTCCTTATCAGAATCACAGAATACTGTTGCAAAGTAACGTTCTGTGTTTTGAGATATTACAGTATTTCTACAAAAGGACTCTGTAATAGTCAATCCTTCGATATTTGTCGCAAACTCTAGTAAAGCAGCGTCTCCGCCTCTTCTCCGCTCAAAATTCCCAATATCTAAGTCAGTATCATAATCATCAGTAGTCTTCAATTCTTTGCATGACACACCACCCCATTCACATAGCGCACCCCTTGGTAATTCAGATACTCTTACAATAATTAAACATTCGATTGGATCTTCTTCAGTATCCATCCAGTGATCGGATTTTATATCCATGTCAGAACAGTATAATCTCCATGTATTACATACAGTGCCGACCATATCACAGTTTGTGATATAACAAATCATGGAGAGTTGGTGAGATGAGTTTGTGGTTTGTTTCAATGTATCAAAATGTTTTAAAGAAAGAACAGCTTGACCTTCTTGGTCTGCATCATCAATTAAAGTCATATCACTTGGGTTTAGTGCAATTTGACCACTGATATATGTAACTTGGTTTATATCGTTAGTACTCCATATAGCCTGGGAGTATGGCCCAATATTACATGGTGCCCAATACGATCTCCCTTGTACATGTAAACCGTTCTTGTCAGAGTTAATAGTAATGGATGTGTTGGTTTTAACTCTTCTGACATGTTCGATTCCATGGGATTTATCTACGATCACAGAAAGTTGGACAAGGATATTACGTCCTAATCTCTTGGAACCTATACATGTTCTTGACGGTGGAAGTGGTCCCCACCTAGATGTATCGAAAAATTGATTGTATATCATATTCACTCTTGAGAAATTGTTCATGTCAGAAAGTATCAAACTTGAATTCAAAATTTGAGATGGACAAACTTCATGCTTTTTAAGCGTATTGCGAAGTTGAGTAAAAATATTTTGAGTCTGCTCTTCTACAGTGGTTCCTATAATTTCAGAAGTGTGAATATTCGAGATATATAGAATCGACCCACTCTCAAGAATGGAAAAGGGAAATGTAATATCTGTTTCTTTTTCTTTGAATAAACTCTCATCGGGTATTTTTTTTTGATCACAAAGTCTGACCTCCTCCAAAAGATCATTCCATTTATTGTCGAACATAGAAGGAGTTGGCAGATGTTCCAACTGTTGCTGTAGATATTGGTTAGGAAGGGTTCTTTCCTTGAAATTCACCTTAAGGTTAGCGCTGAAAACACCGTCACCGTTATTATTGCATTCCGTGTCACGTAGTACATCTTCCAGCTCTAGATACCCACCATTGAAGAAAGGTGCATCAATAACCATTGATTCAAACTCTCCTCCTTCGCCACAGATATGAACGTCATACATTCTGTTAAGTTTGGTCATCACGGGTAGAATCTGTGGTAATGTTTTACCTAAATGAGAAGCATCCAATCCAATAGCAGCGACTTTAATTATTCGAGCATCTAACTTTGCACATTGTATTTTATTAAGCTCATCATCTTGTTTCGACATTAAGCACATTTCATTCATCAATACTTCTTGTGACCTTTGCCATAGATAACTGAGAGCCGTCAAATTTAGTCTCTGGCAAACATTTTCGACTCTCGTCCTTTGGTAGGAAGAAAGGATTGCACCTACACTAACGGCTTCCAAATCGGGTATATCTTGTTTTACCTTCAATAAAAGTGTATATAATTCTTCGATCTCATCATCTTCCGTTTCAATGTAGTTTAGATCTACGTTCTTTGACGAATTTTTTTCAATAGGCTGCCTAAATAGAGGTATATTATTAATACATTTCGTATACTGTTCTACAATATCGAATCCAACAGTTTGAAACATAAAACTGTCTAACTCTTGTATATTGGTAGAAGGGTAAAGGTTTGCGAGTGCGACAAGCTCATGACCCTGTTTCAAGCAATGTATAATATTGAAACAAGAATCCTTCCCACCAGATACCAAAGCTACAAACTTCATTTTGATTTAAAATAATTTTGCAGAGGGTTTGATGTATAATTGAGAGATATCTGGTTTAATGATTACTGTAATGTTCATTCTGATATATTGGTTGGACCTCTTTAAAGTCATTGAGAATTTTAACTGAAAACATTTTATACCAAATTGTGAGAATATTAGTACAAGTAGTAAAAAAAAATTTTCCAAATTGGAATCCAAAAAAACTCCGCGACGGGGAATTGAACCCCGATCTGGCACGCGACAAGCGCCCATTCTGACCATTAAACTATCACGGATTATATGAAAAATTGGACAAATTTTATACTTTTAACTTAGCCAAACTTTGTGTATTGGTGTTAGCTAACCTTTGTCTTCAAATTGTTATAATATAGAAAGTAGCAATACTTAGTTATTACAATTTTATGTTTAGTAAGAAATTATTACTAACTGTTCAATATGATTCTAGAATATTCTTTAAGAATGATTAGTAAGCAAGTATTACTAATTGTTTCATAAGTGTCTAGAACATGTTTCAAGAATGTTTAGTAAGAATACTATCAATATTTGGTAGACTGTTTTCCTTTTCCAAAAGTATAAAAGGACCACATATTCTAACTTTATATATATACAATCTTCCTTATATAGACTTACTTTATATAACATAAAATAAA